CCCGATTAAACTTGACAGACATTGTTGCATTTTCACACATAACCTCTATGGTCCAACCACATTTATTTCTACATGAGATATAAATACGCACACATAACTGTAAAGGCCTGAAGACGAAGTTACGAAAACAAGCTTGTTTGCCATACTGTTTTGATTTCTGTGTGAGTCCGAATAAAGTCCCCCGGGTGCAGGACACATTCCCAGTCTCGCGAAAACCGCCCGTGTGAAACGCTCATATTTAACTTGGGTTCTAAACGTCTGAGTAAAGCCAAAAACGACTGCGGTTAGGTGAACCAAATGTTGCCATCTCCCACATGAATGTGCTCTACACGAATAGTGTTCAGTTGAAAAATTTTTAGTGACCTGAAAAAACGTACTGGTTTCATTTCTCCAATTATCACTAGGCGTATCTGTTCACACGAATCGATGATCCAAATTACTGGAAATGACCGAGTCACAATCTACAGTTTTAACGCGCATGTACTGAGAGACTGATTTGTGATATTATTCTCGTTTGAGAAGTCATGAGAACAAAAGATAGTAAAAAAAACCTCGTTTTCGGTGCTACATCAACCGTCTAAATGCAGAACAATTTATAATAGATTAAAACAGGTAGGAAGAGGAAACATATATCTGCGAAGGAAATCGGAATTTGAGAAGAGATGATGAATTTGCGATAATTGATCTTCGTGAGTGTGTGTGTATGTCTGTGTGTTTGTGTGTGCGTAGAAAATGAGAGACAGAGAGCGGTCGTGAATGGATGAGTGGTTGATCATAAACGGAGGTTACGTCATCAAATTGGTAGTGCATGACCATGGTAAGACCAATGTTCTTCCAAACTGAGACTGGTTTGACTAAGCAACCAGGTGTTCAACTACTTATACAGCTTTTTCGTACACACTTCACAATCGAAACTGGAAAATCGATAAAGCGTTGAATTTGATGATCAATGTTGCCTCAACTGTGAATTTTCATTCCGTTTTACGTGGAACCGCTTGAACCGAAATTACTGTCTTAGTTTTGTACTACCCTCCGCTTTACGCAGTGTTTATATTCTATACTACCTTATTTTCCCTCTTATTACAGTGTCTTTCAATTATTTTTTTTCATCAAACCAAACAGAAACATTTTAGACAGGTTCACTTTCTACACAAATCAACCTAAATAAAAAGTGTCACCAAATGCAATTTACCGGCTTTTGATTGTTGAAGATTGTTCTTCATACTTGGTGTTTGAGTCGGAGATTGCTCCACGGGCTGACGCTCATCAAGCCCCGTCGTCTGATCATCCACAGTGCTGAACAAACCACCGGGGACCAGTTCCAGTGAGTATTCCGCATTGCGCAGGCTGACCGCGGTGTTTCGCGTAGCCCACAAATAGACCACGCCCCGCGTTTGTCTCGGTAAACAATTCAGGGTGTCCGCGGGGCGAGGTACGATCCCCGTGAGATGGGCCACATTCCCGACTTGAACGTGCCATCCGGTTTCTGGTTGTCGGATAATTCGTGTCACACGGACATAGGCCTCGGAGTGGGCAGTTTGATCACCGAACTGAAGCAGTTCGGCTTCGAAAATCAGGGTTGTTTTTGGATCTAAACCGGCCAGAAATTGTTCCTTGTCCAAACATGCATGAACTCCGTTCAGCACAGAATTCGTGAACCATAAAATCCACCATAATATTTTCCAAACACCGCACATTCTCGAGCGGGAGAGCTCGCCCCAAATTGTTGCTTCTGGTGTTGTTGTTGCTATTGTATCGAAATCGTTCTTATGGCTGACCTGCTGGCCTCAATCGGAATGAGTAGGAGATATTGTGGGCGATCAGCAGGAGCACATGCCGGCTTGCACAGGTCTCAAAATTTTCACAAAATGATCATTTTATGAATGCCCCCTTCCACTTCAGTTTGCACACAAGCACTAACATACATACAGGTATGCGTGTGTGAAACGACTTCACACAAGTAGGACTGTAATAGTGTGTGTGCGTGTGTGTGTGTGTGTGTGCAGACTGATTGAGTTACGTCTTTGATTGACTACTCGCAACGGGAGGGGGGAGGTGGAGTTATTCACGTGGCACAATTGAGTGCCCTCTGTGTGACTGAATGAGGTGACGGCTATCGCCCCGGTCGTCTCAGCTTCCTTTGTTGCACAAATATGTACACAGTGACACTAACAGAGAAAAAATCAGTAAACATTGTCACGCACACACAAGAACGCCCGTGTGCGTACATACAGACAGAGGAGATACTGTTCAAAGAACACACGCACCTGGTTTGGCGGTTCCGTGTAGGTATCAGCTAACGATTCTGATGTGATAAATTGGCTTTCGGTTCGCTTGTGTATGAGTGCACGTGTCTGTGCGCACAAAAATTGGTGGTTGTGTCGCCATTCGCCTGTCTGTCACACACTCGCCTCAACAGCTCTGTGGCTGAGACCACATTCCAAAAACAGTACACACATACATACACACCCTCAAACTTCTTACGTAGACAGTTGAGAATGTGGATTAAACTGGTTTACTGTTGCTGGCTTTGGTGATGCTGTAACTTTGGAACACGATCGGAACAATTGATGACGAGTTTGATGAGGAAGTCCATGATGTTGATTATGACGACGACCACGACGTCGACGATGACGACGATTATGCAGATGATGAGGATGACTATGTGCACCGGATTGGACAAGGCAAAATGGGGACAGTCAGCATACAACACACACGCAAACGCTGAATCCACGTCAAAAACCTAACGCCTCTTTCAACTTGGTCATCACACAGTTCGATGCCAATTCGAAGTACGATAAAAAGGAAACCAGGCACACAGACACACACACACACCTATATACGAGAGAACAGTTACAAAAGACATACAAAAATTAAACCATAATTAACCGACTGTTCCCGTTTTTCACGTGCGCATACGTTCGTGTCAAACAAAACACCTGGCTGCCTCGCATGCAACAGTAAATACACACACACACACACACGCAAACAGAAACTATACACCCGTCCACTGGCATACCGAGCACAGTGAAAAAAAGTTGGGGAATGTTACCACCCAAAGCGGGGGGGATCGGAAAACGGCACTGACTCATCGATTGGCCTCTATGTGCATTGGGACGTGGTGTTGTATGATGATGCATTTGACAGTGTACAGGTAAGCGAGAGCACACGCACAAATCAGCACAATCACATACACACACACACATATGACTCGACCCGATTCGGTACTGAGCAGGTCTTCGGCAGAACAAAGGGTATTCACGTGTATCTTGACCACGTAGCAACAGCCATCTTATTGGATGGATGTTGACTTAAAATTACGGTTAATGATAAAGCGTTGAGTCATGCACGTGTAAAACAGATTGGTGTAATATGGGGTTGGATTACGGTGAGCATAGCACTCGTTGACTAAAAGTTCACTTCCCGACCAGAAGATGAATGTGGTCTACTCTTGTTTCTTCATTTTCAATTCCTCTTATTGATTAGGAAAATAAACAATTTTCAGAAGAAAAAGAAGAGGCGGTCAATCAATCGGCTGCCATGTAACCATACAATGGAGAAAGTCAGGCGGTGGTGGTGAGATTTGAACACATGTCCTCCGGGGTGATAATTCGATGACGTCACCACTGGGTCAACATGGCTGAAGGGTTACATTGAGAGACAGAAATTGGGATCCTGTGATTTCTGAGTGTGTTCTGGAGAGAATCCGTTGCTAATTGTGTTTGAACGTTTGAAGGTTATAAGCAATATGATATAAACATGATATGGTATAAATAAGTAAGTATGGTATAAACAGCATGATGCAACAGCATGTACGCAACCAGGCGAGGGGGATATGTGAACTGAACACAGAACTACGAATCCGTTTTTGCTTTTCAAGACCGAAAGTGTCTGAGTTTCTGACAGTACGGAAACAGAAAGAATGTTAGACTGTGTGAGGACTGTCGGGCAAAGCGAAATTGAAATACACAAAATCGACCTCTGGGGTAGCTAGCTGATCATCTTTGTTCGAAGAGGACATGGGAAAGTGAACCACAAAACAGTGTTTATTGATCGCCCGATTGGTCTTTAATTGAACCCGATTCAGGAACGCAAGGAAAACCCATTCACACCACACACGTGACGGAGTTGCATAAACGGAGATAAACAAAACGTTCACGGTGGAATAGGGAAATCTGTTAGGCGCCCATCGCAGAACAAAAGTGACGAGACCAACAGAGAGTCGTACTGATGGATAGAGCCAGCAGAAGAAAGCGAATGTGTATAATGAGTGGAAGGCAGTTGATGACCGAATCAGAATGATGGAAGGTGAGCAGTTTCGTACGTACTGAGACAGACAAAGTTGACGGAATCCATTGTGGATTTGTGTATAATGTTCAAGCAAGTGATGGATCAATAAAGATTACGACCGTGATCGACGTGGAATGTATTGCTTCACACAACCAACACAAAATAACATTATAGAAGGACAAGTAACATGGTTTGATGTTTTGAGTAGATCATAAATAAACGGAAAAGTGGAATTGGGAACCTTTGAGAACACCCGCATTTCCAAGGAAACGATCGAACGGAGATAATTTGCTTGGTAAGGATATATGAAAATCTTCAATACGAAGCGGGTGGAATTCAAACCAGCGGCAGACGTTCATACCACAATTAATCGGAACCCCATAAGGCCTGTAGTGAAAAAAACGGAGTCTGTCTGAAGTGAGGGATTGCAGTCGACCAGAAATGTGAGACCAAATCCAGTGAGTTGCATATCGAACAACAAGGGGTGGAACCCATCGTGACAGTGATTTCACTAACCTTGGTTTTCTAGGAAAACGGTTGAAGATGACTGCTTGAAGGCTTTGAAAAATTACATAAATTTCAAGTTCTAGGATACGAGTAGTTTCTTTTGCAGAAGAAGAATCAATCGTCATATCATAAGACCCAAATTCATTTCCCATAAGGTTGAAGAAATATCGTTCAGTATCGAGCGATTTTTACAGACAAACTTTGGCCCTTTTGTTTGTTATACAAGGTGGAACGAAGTGGACGAATGATTGCAGTGANTGCAGTGAACAGATTTAAGTGCAATTGATAGATAAGTTTGAGTTGAAGGCAAATCAACAGGAAAATATCGTTGTCTTCCGGGTGCAGTTCACAGAACGAAAAAAGAGGAAAAAAAACACCTGCGACCCGAAAGAATGTTATGAGGACAAAAATTGGTGAAATTCACTTGCAATCTTTTTCCCGTGCTCCGCACACTGTTGGCACACTGATATACCGTGTTTTGGTGTACAGTTCTATCTCATCCTCGGAGAGTACACTACTTTCAGGTTTACTATAAACTATTTCTCTTGAAGTCCAACCGGGCTCAACTGNTCTCCTCCTGATCATCACAAGACAGTGTGGTAATTTGTTGGTTGCTTAGTACCAATCTATCAATAAATGGTGTTATACTTGGGACTTGAAGAAAACTAACATTTGCCATTTATGCTTTATAGTATTACAAAGTACCAAACAATCATACGAAAGCTGTCGTTCTCGCACTCTATTTTTTATGAATAGTTTGTTCTGGACACATTACAAGGAATAAGCGTTGCATTTTATGGTTATTGATTTATTCAGAAAATATTTGTTTTTGAAGGCCTTTCGACTATTACTTGCTCTACCAATTACGGTGTCTCTTCACAATCGTGAAACACAGGCGAAGTATTTTCGAGAACACACTTAGCTCATGCGTATACCACAAACACTTTTTACACAAAGACTCAAATCCTGATGCTCATTTAGAACTTGAGCGAGAGATCTAATATTTGCCAGGCATAGATATATATTCTTTTGCCTTGATTATCAATAGTTGACAGGTTGTCGGATTCGCATTTATTGTTCTGTGTTCAAGTGGTTTACTGGAATCGAATGTAATCTTACCAAAACCTCTTTCTGTTGCGTACCATTGTGTGCCACGCCTAAAGTAGCTGGGCCTTGTGTAGTTCGTCACTCCAAATCCCGGGGCTTAGGTTGCCGGTCTCCATCACTGAACAGCATGTTCTCGTGACCATGGAGCTTTAACCGTCTGCGGTACATCGCACTAAGGTATGTAATAAAAAATACCAATCATCCTTGTTCATTGTCTGTGAATCAAGCACCTCCAAGCATGAATATTGATCGCTTTGGCTACAAGTGAGTGGACTGCATACAACCGACCTCATTCTGATTTGTTACCGGTGTTTGGATTCTGCAGGGGCAGCTATAGTTCATTTATCTCAATGGTTAGATTACCTATGTGACTGGCTCGAGTACTTACTCAGGCAGGTAGAATTTTAATTCAAAACCCTCGTTTCCATTCATTTATTAAGACTTGATTATCATAAACTCTCATTTTCCTAGTTCTATTATTGCTGTTCAAAAGCCTTATATTATTGATGATTTACGTTTTTCTATACTTACATTGGACAAGACTAAATAAAAGCACGTAATTTGTAAATCGAAAATGACGTATGTCACAAAATTAGTTATACTTTTCAAATAAGGTGTGATGAAACAGTCCATTTAAACCATTGAACTCAAAAGTCATGTTGGTTAAATGTGGAGACTTTATCGCTGAAATAGAGTGGTGCAGGTTAGACCACAGCATTCCTCTCTGTTGTCGGTCATCTGAATCGCTCGATCCGAACTATTCACCAGAATCTATGAGAAAAATAGATACGAT